TAAGAGAATGAGTGCAAATCTGTGAGTGAGAGAATGAAAGCGAAGCAGTGAGCGAGGAGGAGAGTGTGAGTGCAGACAGTGAATGAGGAGAGTGTGAGTGCAGACAATGAATGAGGAGGAAAGTGTGAGTGCAGACAGTGAATGAGGAGGAGAGTGTGAGTGCAGACAGTGAATGAGGAGGAGAGTGTAAGTGCAGGCAATGAGTGAGGAGAGTGTGAGTGCAAGAAATGAGTGATTAGGGTGTAAGTGCAGGCAGTGAGTGAGGAGGAGAGTGTGAGTGCAGACAGTGAGGGAGGAGCAGAGTGTGAGTGCAGGCAGTGAGCGAGGAGCAGGGTGTGAGTGCCGGCAGTGAGTGAGGAGCAGGGTGTGAGTGCAGGCAGTGAGTGATTAGGGTGTGAGTGCAGACAGTTAGTGAAGAGCAGAATGTGAGTGCAGGCAGTGAGTGAGGAGTAGAGTGTGAGTGCAGGCAGTGAGTGAGTGCAGGCAGTGAGTGATTAGGGTGTGAGTGCAGACAGTTAGTGAGGAGCAGAATGTGAGTGCAGGCAGTGAGTGAGGAGGAGAGTGTGAGTGCAGGCAGTGACTGATTAGGGTGTGAGTGCAGGCAGTGAGTGAGGAGCAGAATGTGAGTGCAGGCAGTTAGTGAGGAGCAGAATGTGAGTGCAGGCAGTGAGTGAGGAGGAGAGTGTGAGTGCAGGCAGTGAGTGAGTGGTTAGGGTGTGAGTGCAGGCAGTGAGTGAGGAGGAGAGTGTGAGTGCAGGCAGTGAGTGATTAGGGTGTGAGTGCAGGCAGTGAGTGAGGAGGAGAGTGTGAGTGCAGGCAGTGAGTGAGTGCAGGCAGTGAGTGATTAGGGTGTGAGTGCAGACAGTTAGTGAGTGATTAGGGTGTGAGTGCAGGCAGTTAGTGAGGAGCAGAATGTGAGTGCAGGCAGTGAGTTAGGAGGAGAGTGTGAGTATAGGCAGTGAGTGATTAGGGTGAGTGCATGCAGCTCCTACCTGTGCGTTACTGAGTGGAGTCGAGTGGAGCTCTGCTGCTGAGTGAGTGAGGCTTTGCAGTAAGAGTTTCCTGACTTTTATTTGAAGTTCTGCTTTTACTGTAAAATCTTCTGAAAGAGATGGGGCGGGCAGGAAACCAGACGTGTGCTCTCTGCTCCTCTACAGCACAGGAGGGGTTAACAGGGCTCCACTGGTGAGGAAGGGGTCAGTCTGAAATGGGGTTAGGTTATTTCACACGTGGCATAGAACGGGTTAAATGGATGATGTTTTTTCTGGTTTGTGGCAGAAATGATTAATGAATGGAGCTCTGCACATCCCTAATATTTAATGGGTTAATAATTGTGAGTTAATAGGTCTGTGGCACAGGAAGGGTTAATGGATGTGGTAATAGGATACAAAAGGGTTAGCTGGATGTGTGCGGGGTTAATGGGGCAATGCACCATGGCACACACAGGGTTAATAAGGGTTACAGTGTTACCTGATGGTCAAGGGATCTCTTTACTGTATCCCACCCTACAGACGCTCTCTGGGCATATTTACTAAACGTCAACAGTCTCTCTCCTGTAGTATCAGTCTCTCTCTCACAGTCTCTCTCTCTCACAGTCTCTCTCTCTCTCAGTCTCTCCTATAGTAACAGTCTCTCTCTCTCACAGTCTCTCTCTCACAATCTCTCTCCTGTAGTAACAGTCTCTCTCTCACAGTCTCTCTCCTGTAGTATCAGTCTCTCTCTCTCAGTCTCTCTCCTGTAGTATCAGTCTCTCTCTCACAGTCTCTCTCTCACAGTCTTTACTATCTTCCTGTCCTCGATCCGATCAACTTACTGCAACTACTCCTTTACTATCTTCCTGCCCTCAATCCGATCAACTTACTGCAACTACTCCTTTACTATCTTCCTGCCCTCGATCCGATCAACTTACTGCAACTACTCCTTTACTATCTTCATGCCCTCGATCCAATCATCTTACTACAACTACTCCTTTACTATCTTCCTGACCTCGATCCGATCAACTTACTGCAACTACTCCTTTACTATCTTCCTGCCCTCGATCCGATCAACTTACTGCAACTACTCCTTTACTATCTTCCTGCCCTCAATCCGATCAACTTACTGTCCTCGATCCGATCAACTTACTGCAACTACTCCTTTACTATCTTCCTGACCTCGATCCGATCAACTTACTGCAACTACTCCTTTACTATCTTCCTGTCCTCGATCCGATCAACTTACTGCAACTACTCCTTTACTATCTTCCTGTCCTCGATCCGATCAACTTACTGCAACTACCCCTTTATTATCTTCCAGCCTGATCCGATCCACTTACTGCAACTACCCCTTTACTACAATTTATTGCAGAACCCCATTTTCCTGCCAGATCGGATCAACTTATTGCAGATCCTTATCCTCCTGCCCCGATCCGATCAACTAATTGCAGATCCTTATCTTCCTGCCATCGATCGGATCAACTTACTGAAGATTCTCATCATCCTGCCCCGATTCGATCAACTTATTGCAGATCCCCATTTTCCTGCCCTCAATCCAATCAATTTATTGCAAATCGCTCCGAGGACCACTAATCTCTGAATAGGGCCAATTAGCTGTGGCTGTTTTGGAAACTGAATCTGGGCTCTAATCCTCCCTACTAGATCAATGTATAAACTGGACATAAGTGTCAGGGTCCCTGACATAAACGGGCCCTGGACAGAAAAGACCCCTGGACAGCTTGTTTAGAGCACTATACGGGCACAGACTGACCTGATACTCCCCATTATGGCTCACACTGTGGGGATCGGGACATGCGCACTGCTGACTGAATGAAAGGTGAATATTAGGCAATGTTTCAAAAGATCTTCATAAAAACTTCAAATAAGGAAAAATCCCATTTGGATAAATCTGTAAAAACAGTGAAAAGATACGATCATAGAAACATTCAAAGTGTACATACAAAGCAGGTTTCAAACATACATCAAGGAAACACAGATAATGTGCATCTTTTTACACTGCTACAAAATTAATTAAAGGTCCTTTTTCAATTGTCCTGAGGATTCAAATCAAACTGTTCCAGGTTTCTACAAAACGTTCTATATCACTGTCAGCCTTTATTACATCTACTGGAAGGCTATTCCATGTATCTACTACCCTTTCTATATCACTGTTACCGCTCCCACTGGAAGGCTATTCCATGTATCTACTACCCTTTCTATATCACTGTTACTGCTCCCACTGGAAGGCTATTCCAGGTATCTACTACCCTTTCTATATCACTGTTACTGCTCCCACTGGAAGGCTATTCCAGGTATCTACTACCCTTTCTATATCACTGTTACTGCTCCCACTGGAAGGCTATTCCAGGTATCTACTACCCTTTCTATATCACTGTTACTGCTCCCACTGGAAGGCTATTCCAGGTATCTACTACCCTTTCTATATCACTGTTACTGCTCCCACTGGAAGGCTATTCCATGTATCTACTACCCTTTCTATATCACTGTTACTGCTCCCACTGAAAGGCTATTCCAGGTATCAACTACCCTTTCTATATCACTTTTACTGCTCCCACTGGAAGGCTATTCCAGGTATCTACTACCCATTCTATATCACTGTTGCTGCTCCCACTGGAAGGCCATTCCAGATATCTACTACCCTTTCTATATCACTGTTGCTGCTCCCACTGGAAGGCCATTCCAGGTATCTACAATCCTTTCTATATCACTGTTGCTGCTCCCACTGGAAGGCCATTCCAGGTATCTACTACCCTTACTATATCACTGTTACTGCTCCCACTGGAAGGCTATTCCAGGTATCTACTACCCTTTCTATATCACTGTTCCTGCTCCCACTGGAAGACTATACCAGGTATCTACTACCCTTTCTATATCACTGTTCCTGCTCCCACTGGAAGGCTATTCCAGGTATCTACTACCCTTTCTATATCACTGTTCCTGCTCCCACTGGAAGGCTATTCCAGGTATCTACTGCCCTTTCTATATCACTGTTACTGCTCCCACTCGAAGGCTATTCCAGGTATCTACTACTCTTTCTATATCACTGTTACTGCTCCCACTGAAAGGCTATTCCAGGTATCTACTACCCTTTCTATATCACTGTTCCTGCTCCCACTGGAAGGCTATTCCATGTATCTACTACCCTTTCTAAATCACTGTTAGTGCTCCCACTGGAAGGTTATTCAAGGTATCTACTACCCTTTCTATATCGCTGTTACTGCTTCCACTGGAAGGCTATTCCAGGTATCTACTACCCTTTCTATATCACTGTTACTGCTCCCACTGGAAGGCTATTCCAGGTATCTACTACCCTTTCTATATCACTGTTACTGCTCCCACTGGAAGGCTATTCCAAGTATCTACTACCCTTTCTATATCACTGTTACTGCTCCAACTGGAAGGCTATTCCAGGTATCTACTACCCTTTTTATATCACTGTTACTGCTCCCACTGAAAGGCTATTCCAGGTATCTACTACCCTTTCTATATCACTTTTACTGCTCCCACTGGAAGGCTATTCCACGTATCTACTACCCATTCTATATCACTGTTGCTGCTCCTACTGGAAAGCCATTCCAGATATCTACTACCCTTTCTATATCACTGTTGCTGCTCCCACTGGAAGGCCATTCCAGGTATCTACAATCCTTTCTATATCACTGTTGCTGCTCCCACTGGAAGGCCATTCCAGGTATCTACTACCCTTACTATATCACTGTTACTGCTCCCACTGGAAGGCTATTCCAGGTATCTACTACCCTTTCTATATCACTGTTCCTGCTCCCACTGGAAGACTATACCAGGTATCTACTACCCTTTCTATATCACTGTTCCTGCTCCCACTGGAAGGCTATTCCAGGTATCTACTACCCTTTCTATATCACTGTTCCTGCTCCCACTGGAAGGCTATTCCAGGTATCTACTACCCTTTCTATATCACTGTTCCTGCTCCCACTGGAATGCTATTCCAGGTATCTACTACCCTTTCTATATCACTGTTCCTGCTCCCACTGGGAGTCTATTCCAGGTATCTACTACCCTTTCTATATCACTGTTCCTGCTCCCACTGGAAGGCTATACCAGGTATCTACTACCCTTTCTATATCACTGTTCCTGCTCCCACTGGAAGGCTATTCCAGGTATCTACTACCCTTTCTATATCACTGTTCCTGCTCCCACTGGGAGTCTATTCCAGGTATCTACTACCCTTTTCTATAATCACTTTGTTCCTGCTCCCTGAAGGCTATTCCAGGTATCTACTATCCTTTCTATATCACTGTTACTGCTCCCACTGGAAGGCTATACCAGGTATCTACTACCATTTCTATATCGCTGTTACTGCTCCCACTGGAAGGCTATTCCAGGTATTTACTACCCTTTCTATATCACTGTTACTGCTCCCACTGGAAGGCTATTCCAGGTATCTACTACCCGTTCTATATCGCTGTTACTGCTTCCACTGTAAGGCTATTCCAGGTATCTACTACCTGTTCTATAACGCTGTTTCTGCTCCCACTGGAAGGCTATTCCAGGTACCTACTACCCTTTCTATATCACTGTTACTGCTCCCACTGGAAGGCTATTCCATGTACCTACTACCCTTCTATATCACTGTTACTGCTCCCACTGGAAGGCTATTCCAGGTATCTACTACCCTTTCTATATCACTGTTACTGCTCCCACTGGGAGGCTATTCCAGGTATCTACTACCCTTTCTATATCACTGTTACTGCTCCCACTGGGAGTCTATTCCAGGTATCTACTACCCTTTCTATATCACTGTTACTGCTCCCACTGGAAGGCTATTCCAGGTATCTACTACCCTTTCTATATCACTGTTCCTGCTCCCACTGGAAGGCTATACCAGGTATCTACTACCCTTTCTATATCACTGTTACTGCTCCCACTGGAAGGCTATTCCAGGTATCTACTACCCTTTCTATATCACTGTTCCTGCTCCCACTGGAAGGCTATTCCAAGTATCTACTACCCTTTCTATATCACTGTTACTGCTCCCACTGGAAGGCTATTCCAGGTATCTACTACCCTTTTTATATCACTGTTACTGCTCCCACTGAAAGGCTATTCCAGGTATCTACTACCCTTTCTATATCACTTTTACTGCTCCCACTGGAAGGCTATTCCACGTATCTACTACCCATTCTATATCACTGTTGCTGCTCCCACTGGAAGGCCATTCCAGATATCTACTACCCTTTCTATATCACTGTTGCTGCTCCCACTGGAAGGCTATTCCAGGTATCTACTACCCTTTCTATATCACTGTTCCTGCTCCCACTGGAAGGTTATTCCAGGTATCTACTACCCTTTCTATATCAGAAAGTGGATTCCAAATTATTCTACGTTCAATACAGGCTGGAGTTAAATTCTCCTATTTAATGTATTATTTACATAAAAACACGCGTTACACCATATTGCTATAAATACAATGACCTGATTATTCTGTAATTCGTTTAGATTATTCTTTGTGTAAAAAGGACCAATGTCATTACATATAGTGTTATTTCTAGATATTGGCATTAATGATTATTTTACACACTCTATATTTCGTACATTTTTGTAGGAATTTGGCCTTTTCCTGTTACAGTATCACAAATAACAGAACACACAGATACTGTAAGTGTTCAGAAATGGGAACCAGACATTGTCAGCTGGATAAAAATACAAAATTAGCACTTTATTAAAGCTGCAGTTCTCTGCCCCTCCTCATGGGGTCAGTAGTGGATAAAGTGGTTTAGTTTAACCTGTGCCCCCACCCCACTTGGCCCCTTACCTGCTGTTACCACACATTGCAATCATTGGTTTGGTGTTAGTGTTGCAGAGGCTCATTTTTAGGATTTGAAAACAGCTTTTTCACCCTCTCAGCATTGATGTCAGTAGCGCCACCCTGTGGCAGAATGTGTTTATAGTAAGGCAGCTCATACAATTACCATTATTTATATAGCACCAACATACTTTGCAGTGTGGTACAATGGTTTTAAGACACGGGAACAGTGGATGAAACTAGCTCACTGTCACATGCCGCTATGAATCTCAGGCAGCTATTTCAGTCTGATTTTTTTCTGTCCATGGGGGCTCCCTTCCCCCTTACACCTC